AAAAACAACTAAAGGATGCAACGGTGTTTCCAAATGAACACCCTACTTTCAAATGTTGGTCGTACTCTAAACTATAAGAGCAATCCATCACAGAAATTGTTCACATTTTACGCCTCCAATAAAATTTATGCTTGGAGGATTTCAGTCCGATTGAACGAATCAGTTCATTCCGAATTCATTAGCACGAGAAACCGTGTATAGTTTCTAACCAAACTGTTGGGACGAAACGGGAATCCTCTATGCTTCAATAATACCGGTTACCAGAGCCCGAAACCCTCCGTTTTCCTTCAATCATCACGGTCAAAAGCTGGCAACTGCCTGCGTAGACAATTTTCTCCCACCCAAAATAACCTCCAATTTGCACTGGAAACACCAAAAAATTATAATTCTAACCCTAATTACCACAAGTTTTATCGTCTCACTTTCCTGATTGAGGGGACAGGATAGAATATTTAGACCAGTATAGCATAGTTTAAGTGGGTAGAATAGAATAGAATGGAGCTGCTCTCAAATGAGGAACGCATAGAATATAATAGAATAGAACAGAGTCGTTTTGGAGTGGAACAGAACAGAATAGAACACTTTTCAAAAAGTGGGTATAGAGACAAAAAGTGGACAAAATACAATTGCTCAATCTGAACGCTTGAATGCAAACCTGTATTGTCCTCTTTTTGGTCTTGATCGCTTCCAGTCTCCGTGATTGTCATTACTGTTCACTGGGCTTTGACTGTTTTTCTTTTCGTCGGTTGACGGTATCCCTCCATTGGTACGTTCGGACGTTTGACGTGCAAGTGACGACCACAAAATTTGATTCCATTCAGATGTAGCTGGCGATTCACAGCTATGATCACAGCTAGTTGCATTCCCTGTGTATTGCTCTTTGCAATTAGTACCCGTCAAAATGCTTACAATATCAAAAAATTTGCAAAGAATAATACCACTGTATTGAGCAAACGTTCGGAAGAATTTTGACTAGCATGAGGAACAAAGAAATTCAAGTCTATAACTTTAAAACTGTTATAGACCGATTCCAATTTGATTTAATTGAAAATTTCAAAAGCGTTCTTATCACAGAGCACAACACGAATTACAGGATGTCCCCAAAACTGGACAACTGCATAGGTGAAACGCATATTTTTAAAACGATAGCAATCAATAAACAATATCTTAATATTGAAGAGGGAACCACTTCGCATGAATATTTCTCCCAACCCAACTTGAGACTTTCATTTTAATCTTAAAGCAGCAAAACTATTANTTCGAAAAGTTACAAATCTTGCATTATTTAACAGATTGGCTGACAAATTTTTTGACAGGACTGAGAGGCGTGGTTATGTGGAGTGATCTCCTCGTACATTAGAGCTTAACTATTTTGAAACTTTTTCTGAAATGCTCTCATGAGGAACATGTGCTTACTGAAGATCACAGATGGAAGACGCTTGGTGGAACGCATAAAAAGTGAATTTGGTTGAATTAAGGACAGTATTGAATTACTGCGTTGAATACTTGTAAATTTTACAAAGCACACCGATCTTTGCTTTAGAAATGATGGGAATCATATGGAAATATTGTTTTTTTAGCTTGAAGGTTCATCACTATTGATCATATTCAAATTCAAATTCCCATGAAACTTTCAGAATCATCTAGAGTACCGGAATCGACAGGATCAGGATTCGACAAGTGACCACAATCACAAAAAAGAATGGACAAAAGAAGTGTATCTTAGGAAACACGGACATTCGATGTAATCATGAAAATGACCAGTGAAATATGGAGACAAAACAGGGAATTCAGCAGCCTATCCTCAGTTCACTTCACGCGTATACTCCATACAAAACGATCTTTAGAAATGACTCTCGACGGTTATCTTTTGTTTGTGATCATCTTCGCTTTTTTACTGTCATTTAAGCTCACCCTAGCGATACTTCGTTTGCTGTATTGTATTCAATATTTATGATCATAGCTGAGATTTTGAACTCTTGTTTGCTGTAAGCAGGTTTTATCTATGGTTGGCTGATCATATCTTCACGGGGATGGTCTCACGCCCAGTCCTCACGATTCCCTCGCGGGGACGAATTCCTCAAGTACGCTAATAAAAACCATTAATACGCACAAGAAATAGGAAACAGTAAAACAGAATCTATTTTCACATGTCTAAAAACTTGAATTGACACCAGTTGGTTCTCACCGAAAGGTGATAGCCATGGTGATGGGCAGAAACCAATTTTGCTTTCCTCGTGTCCATACCTAACATATTGTGTGCGCTTGAATTCACTTGTGTAATGAGGAAGGAAATAGCTGGATAATTAAGTTATTTCAACTTTCTACATGCGTTTGATATCTGTTCGTCAGGGAAGCACCAAGTAAATTGAATTGAGCTCATAATTGAACAGTATGGACCATATCACCACAGGCCTCTGCCCATGGAGACTCTGTGGAGNTGTGGAGAGTTAGCCCCGTCCGAAAAAAAAAATTCGCATGGTCTGCTATCCTCAAGACGTACATTTCATCGTTCACATACCTATTCGCGATGAAATTCCAGAAAAGGCAACCAACCAACCGACACACTTGTTTCCAGCCACTTTCATGATCATTCAACTATGAATTAATCCAACTGCGAGCACAGTTCGCTCCGATAGTTAGTTCGTGATTCAAACTGCGTGTGAACCGAAGCATACTGATCAACGGAAAATGAATTAATCCGCTCAGTTCGATCCAGTTCTACCCAATGTAAATTTTCATTGGTAGCGTAAACCATAAACAATCTCATTGATAAAGTGGAGTTAAGAGCATGATAAAGGAGTGAGGATAGGAATATTCGTAACTCCCTGTATTACCAGAATTTGGTTGTGATTCAGTGCTTTCTTACCTCACTAATAAACCTTCTGATAAAAACTATTCGTTGACCACTTCCAGTTCTGCAATCCTCAGAAATGAAAAGATTCCCCAGTATATTTGTAGAGGCCTCAAAAATCCTTTCACGAGCACAAAACGCCCACACTTAAGTAAAATACCACCATTGTAAGCAAAGAAAACCAAAAGACTCACTATGTGGAATGTCAGTAATGATCAAAATCTCCATGGATCTTTACTATGACAATTACTATCATGAAAACATCGAAAATCTAACTCGAATCTCCCCGAATTCGTTTGAGAGTACTATGAAAGATTCTAGCTATTCGATCGAAAATGGTCCAATCAAATAATTCTTCACCATGAGATTGAGCTCCAAAAAATAGCCGAGGAGGAATCAAAGACTTGACTAGATCCTGGGATGATTTTATGAAACTGACTTCACCGCACCGTTTCCAAATATTCATGCTCTTCTATGCACAACTCTAAAGGTAGGTGTATCTGCTACTTTGAGGTCCACGGACAGAGAAAAAGAGAAAAGAAAGGACGATCTTGCATTTTTCGCCTCAGAAAAAGACAAAGCCGTTGATTCTTTCGCAACCAACGTTGCACATGTCTTTCTGACTCATCAGAAGTATCAATTGTCTTTTTTATTACTTGCTGTTATACTGGTTGCATCGTTCTAATAATATTCGTCGCATGAATTTGTCATAAGCTTCGTCGTTCGAATAATTCTGGGGTTTTCTGGTGATAATTTACACGGTGTATCATGCCCATCTACTGATAGCAGTTAAACTTGCACTGTATTAATGTGCTTTGAAATAAAGCCAGTGTATATTCTGGAAATAAGTAATGGATTTATGAGTCCCTTAAGACGACAGTAGTCCACTAAATTCCATGCTTTGAGTACAGGCCCATAGCACACTCATCCAGAACAACACACACCACCACGGGGACTCCGCACGTACTCGGCGTGTCATAAGAGTTCTCAAAGCCTCTCGGGCACTATTGCATTAATATTCTGGTTGAACAAAATGCTGTTGAAAATTTCTTTTCTAGAAAATATACATTTCGTTTTGAAGAACGCCATATGTATTTCACCGTTTCAAACCTGAATGATTTTTTCCCTCATACAACTCCTTTCCTTAATGCAGTACAGTTCAGCCACCAAATTCCAAGAAATTTCCTGCTTTTTTTTGTCGTAAATGTTGATGGAATGACATTGATCCAACCAATAACAGGCGCAAAAATAGCATTGAATAGAAAAAGGTCAAAAAATGAAATCAGGTAAATCACAATCTAAGAAACGTAACGAGAATGAATGGTAAACAACAGTGACTACTTATCGATTTACTAGTTGTAAGTATGCGCCTAAACATGACACGTTAATAGGCACCATTTAGAGAAGTGTTTGTTGCAACAGATGGCCACTGACTATGATTATCCAGATCCTGTACATTTGAAGAATCGGTATGTTCGAGTAAGACATTCTCAGAATCGGATTTCGCACCAGAACTAAAATTTTCGCATTGCTTGATTGAAACAGTGAAGACAAAATTTTACAAATTTTTCAGTCCAAAAAAATTTTGCATATTCTGACGAATCAACCACCCCGTTCGTCTGCACACAACATGAAAGTGTAGGATGAAAATGGATAATAAAGACTCTGAACTGAAAACTCAGAAATTCATACGTTTGGTGCTGCTTGAGTAATGATACGTCCGCCTTATTACTAGTCGTTGAATGTTGCCCAGTCGCTCGTCTCCTTTTCATCTGGCTTGATTCACCAGTCAATTCTTCAGCTGCTTCCAGTTTATAAATCTTATTTCGTAATGTTGACCTCAACTTCACTCAGTTTTATCATTATTATTCCATTTCTGTTCAAGGATTCGATTTCAAGGTTAAGCTAAATGCAATGAGTTTCAATGCTAGTAAGTGAATTTTAACGCTGATGTGAAAATATCGGAAACATAGTTTGATATGAGTGCTTGATCTTGAACCCTATTCTCAAGCCAAACGATTTATGGTTTATTCCATTTGAATACTTTATCCCAGCATTCATTCCCGCCAAACGCATACTGAGATAATTCTCGACTTCACTTGACTTTAACACAAAGTTAGAGGGAATTTCACTAGAATTGTATGAACACAATATACTTTCAAAATAAATATGCGGGGTAAGAATTGATTCTTTCCATAAATTTTTCAGAAGTTCGAGAATGCACAGATTAAAAGGTATTTGCTCATCAAATGCTTTTTAAGTGCTGAATCGCACGAATACTAAACTACCTTGGAATACCATAGACTACACTAGCTCTTCTTGTACCAAGGCGTCCACAGCGAATATCTTGAACGGCTGCATCCAAATCTGCTTGACTGTAATTTCTTTTAGTGCTTGTTATTGTGACTGTCGTGGTTGTGACTGAATTCACATTTGTCGATAACGCTTTCGATTCACTTTGTACATCACTCCTGAAAAGATCACTTATGAATAATTCTGCAATCATTTTCGAAATTCTGTCAATTTTCAGCCCATAAATGTTCCACCTCTAAATAAGCAGCATGCAACAAGAGCTTTATAAAGATCACCAGAATCATCTAGGGTTTGCAAACTCCCGACGATTTTTCAATTCCGGGATCGATTTTTGATCCCGGGATCGAACGATTTTTGCATTATCGATGCGGGACATGTTCAAAAACATTTTTTTCCATCCAATATGTTCATTATTAATCAGAAAGGTTTTAATTCAACAAATTATTGAACAAATTCGAGGAAACAAATTATTCAAATTCAAATTAATATTTTATATAATGATGCCAATGATCATGCCGCAAGGGCATACTGCATATTCTATGCTAAGGCATCTTGTCATTTTGGATCTAACTGTAAGCTAATAACAGTACACTTGCATGTGAAGAACTTATTTGCAATGCTTCAAGTCCATTTCTCTCAGTATTAACGTCAGCTGAATTCTGCCGTTTCGAAAATTTCGATTTTTTATGGAAGAAATGTACCGCATGAATTATATCATTTGAATTTTAAAATAATTAAAAGTTCGAAGTTTATCTAAAGAGGTAAAAAATATCCGCAATGGATTTTCATCGAACCATCGAGCACTTACATATTTGATAATTTCGATCAAAAATCATGCAAATGTACGTGATATTCAAGCATAAGATCCTTTTGAATGGAACAACTTTGCTCACTTCGGCAATGAACTCTCACTATGAGTGAACTTTTATTATTGAATTATTATTTGCTAATCATTGTTTCGAAGTATAAATTGTTACTTTGACGGCTACCAAGTCCATACAAACCACCCACACACAAACAACTATTTTGGCCGTCACTAACAAACTATTGTAGCGGATATCGCTAAAAATATCCGCTATTTGATAAAAGTAGCGTGACATTGCGCAAGCGGAAAAAAACTGTTCTGCTACTAGCGGAATAGCACACTATTGCCCACCTCTGGCGGTAATAGTTATAATAATGACATTCATTTGCATACGTGAAAGGAAAGAGTTTCAACTAACTTTGGAATAATGCGAGCTTTATCATAAGACTTATCGTCGAATCCAGCTGGTAGTGGAGTGGTTCTGTGCCGTTTAACGTCTCGTAACTTAGTCACGTTGCATGCTGCACTATGTGTTGCTGCTTGAAGAACTCGTTTCGAGCTGAGATCGAGTGGCTGATCATCGTTCATGATTGTTCCTGCATCATCCCCCACATCTTTGTTCTCAAAATTCGATCCGCTAGCAGATGCTGCTTGTCCTGAAGTGCATGAATATGTGATTCATTAATTACAGATGCTATTGTAAACCTGTTGATGCCGAAACCGATTTCCAGTTAGCCAAATTAGATAAAATTCATGAACAGACATCTGAATACAAACTCGTGTCATTCTAAAATACATTGATCTTAGAGGCATATTGAATTATTTTACTATAAAAAATTTGTCAAATGTAAATATTGTTCAATTGAATCAACTCAACAACGGCGTGCTAATCATATAGATAGATAAAAGGTACTGAAAAACGATCGGGACAAACGAAAATTACTAAAGGATTAATTAATGGTGTAAAATATGTAGAAATCAAGAGATATCTAAAACTAGGGATTATTTATCAATAACGTATGTACTTTTCAGACAGATGAAAATCTGGTGGTGTAAAGAAATTACATGGTTGCTGAGCAAAACTGAGCATAGAGTTAACTTGAGAACGGTAGATCATGCGATCTTTTATTACTGATCAACACAAGGAGAGAATGTTTAAGTAGAGATTATGAATTTTCTCATCTATACAAAATGAAAATAATCAGCTATAGTTTTTGAACTCACAATCAGCATCAACTGTCAAAACTTTGTTCATATGCTTCTCAGATGGAGGCGACTTTCCATTATCCTCTTATAAGGGCGTACGGCCGACAATCACATAAAAATGAATCTAGTGCAAAATTTGAATCTGCATCAAACCTAATGAAATCTGACCGTTCTCGTTCATTTGTTATTCCTGGGTTACAGATGTCAATGTCGCAAATAAATCGAAACTATTAACTTAGTTGAAGAATCATATAATTTACGCAATCAGCAATCAGTTACGAACTCAAAACTTGACTAACAAAAGCAGTTAGTTGGATCGTAGGTGGAATGCAGTAATCTGAAAAAAAAAGTCTGATCAGTAACCTAGAAGTAACGAATTGATACCAGATGATAGAAATGGGCATATTGTATTTGTTAGAGGTTGCGCTGCATTGATGGCATTTGCCATCGCCATACAGTGATTTGAAAACACTGTAAGCGGATCTATGATATGTTTCGTTTCCGACGATGTACCAATCCTTGCTGCATTCGAGTAACGATTGCGATTCATTTGGCGATTGAATGCTGGCATCTTTCCTACAACGGATAGTTGCATTGGATGCAATATCTTTCTCGAAATATGGTTACTTTGATAAGATAATAGAACTAGTGAACACTAGAAAATAGTTCAATAGAATATCAAAGGAATCAGTAGATCAATCAAGGATATAATCGACCAGTTCAAGTGACTGCTTAAAATCTGTTTATTACGACGATGCGAAATTGCAAACTATGAACAGTATGCGAGGATAAAGGTATCTGTTTGGAGGAGTTTTTCAAAATTGACATGCATATAATCAGTACAAGCCAGAGGTTTTCAACCTTCTTCCCCGCAACCCCTAAAAAATTTCAACACGTCCTCGCATCCCTATAACAATAGCTGAAATGTCCTCAAATCATTCACAGCATTCACTCTGTGTCTATCATCCACTACAGTGAGTGTCTATAGTGTAGATAAGTGCTAGTTCTAGCCTTTTCAAAAATATATGCGCTGAAGTCCATCGTCACCTAATTCATACACATGTATACGCTGAAATCCGCCCTCGCCTACTTCCACCTCCTGGAATACGATCTCGCACCATTTGGGGTGCGAGCACCCCTTACTCAGAAATCCTAATGTAAGCAATGATTGAAAATTCGGTTATGATTATGAACTCTCATTTTAGCAGTCTCCAGCATCAATCCATTAGTAATGATTCAACGTGGTTTCTAAAAGAACTTTTATTCACATCACAGTGACTGACTACATTCAGTGTTCAAATTTGCGCAAAATCAAACCCTTCTAACAAAACATGGCTATTTTGTCAGAAATATGAAATCATATTTTATGAAAAGAGCAATTGCGAACCAGCAAAAAGAGGAGTTAGATGAACAAAATATCTGTTACCATAATCTCGCACATATCTGCATTCACACAGATAACAACAGGCTGTTGTCTTTTGGGCGTAGTTTTCAATTCACCGCCGTTTCGTTTCAAGACTATCGTAATTTAACTTATACGTCATCAGTGCATATTTGCAAACATACTCCTCAACAACATTTCACAAAATAGCCCGATAATGGAATCGTTGCTTCATACGTAATACTGCCAGTTGAACGCGAGATAAATTATGTGAATTCTTCTAGTGACTGATTAGAGCAGACAAATTTAAGTAGAAACTGGGTATCCGATAGAACAGTGAGTATCGTTCTATTCAGCAGGGGTTCTCCATCTTGTCGTTATTGTGCACTTGCGGGCAAAAGATACATAAACGGATCGGTATTTGAGCAATTTCGGATCCCGTGAATTGATGCACTCAGGAAGGTTTGATAGACTTTCTCGTTGCTGATGTTATAGCGATTCTAAAAGATATTGAAACTATTTCCTTCGATTTTTTTTTGTGGAATTTACCTCACCCAAATTTTTCTGACTGCATTGGTCGAAACAGTGCTTCTCATTCTCTTGTCTTCCGTGCCAAACTTTAGTCTCATGACAGAACCTTATTCCTTCCTCCTGCTCAGGAAGTTTGCCGCCCTTAATTCATATTTTATCACATGAATCTTTGCGCTTGAACAAGAATTTCGAGACTATTTTTTGAGTAAGGGCAGACATACTATTCTAAAAGAAAACAAAATCGATTTGCAAACCACCTTGATTCCTCCCTAGTACCCCAAATCCACACCAAGGCTGAATTATAAACGAGCTAGAGCACGTTGTAATGACAAACACTCAACTGTAGAGCTTGGTCGGCGCTCACCAAACTCTGGGTTAATAACCACGGACAGGATTGGATCGAAACTCTTGATGGCCACCGGGATGTATTGGCTCCGATAGGGTGTTTGGTCTGTGCGCATGAAAGAAAATTTGTTGGTTGCTAACTCTAGTCACCTTCATTGCTGACAATTCACTTCACTAATGCATCAAACAAAAATGTGCAGTCAATTAAAGGCAATATACATTCCCCACCTCTTCTATTTAGTGTGTCTATTTTGATGACTAGAAGTTGGGCAATTTTTCCCTTCTGATCTTCCATGCAATGACGAAAGTTGTTCGGCTTGTCAATAGCATCCTGAGCAAAATTTCAGACAAATTGTTATTACGTGTGAAAGTGCTCGTCCAATGCTCAAACTTTTCAATACGCTAAATGCCGCAGAGCGAGTCTCCTTGCTAGGTATGTCTGTGACTTTTTTCAAATCTAATGCACAAGGCAAACATGATTCATGTGTATTCAAAAAAAAACCTTGCATAAAATTTCGCAGTAGCTAAATCGCATCCCAAGTTGAGGTAATTTTTTGAAAGTACTGAATAAGCAAATTTAGTCAATGGATGATGATGAGAAATGGAAAATAGGAGAAGACAGGCCATACAGATAACGTTTGTTACCATTCTGCAAAATTCGAGATGCAAATAGATAGATCTCCGCAAGTGGTTCAGCTACTGCGAAGTCTTACCCAAGGTTTCTATTCAAAATGACAGCATGAATAGTACGAGCCCTTGTATGAAATTTCAGGTATTTTTTTCAATGAACTTAAACCATTCATGCCGTTGCAACTGAAGTATGGGATTGTTATATTTTTACAACACCTTAATGCCCATAATTAACTGTATGTAATTATCACTATGTTTTCGGCCTTTTAAACCGTCTTCAGAATCGTTACAACATGTTAGTAAATACGAAAAGGTGATTTGGCTGCACTCTCAAACCAGATGGGTGATTGGCTGATGAAGCAGGAGAACCACTACTCTACAGGATGCATCCTCATGATCTCAGATTGCAGATACACATTAAAGATCAACTGAATCAAACAGTTGAAACTCGAGTACGAGGCCGAATAAACTTTTCTGTGAAATTCATGTGAATATGGCAAGTAGTAGACCCGAACACAAAACAACGTTTATAAATGACCGTTGCTTCTTATAGAGAAATGAAATTAATAGAAATTGAGTTTAAAAAATTAAAAATTCATCAAAATCAAAAAGTACAGGTTCCCTATCGCCTATAGTGAAACTGATACTTTTCGTTGAAGTGATGTTGGGTTATTATAGAGCTCAAGGACATCAGGAGGGCTAAACGATCACAATTACGATCCTCAGGTCGATTGAGCAGCTCCTACCCTTCAGCCAACCATCAAACGACTAATGCAATATTATTTCCACCTCTGGGGCAATCCTATTCTGCTCTTGAAGGATACATGGATTCAAGAGTTAGCCATACTTGATTAGCGCGAGTATTTGGTTAATATCTCGTGTGATTATTTTATATGTCGAGCTTAACAGATCAAATCCACGAACAGGACATTCCACAATCAAGTAAATGAAAATCTAAATGCTTAAGTTGGCGCATACCCTATTTCTCGAATTTGCAAATCACTGCCATCAGTACCTTGAAAAAATCCTCACTCGACACAAGATAGGGCACATTTAGATGAGCCAACTGAGTATTATTTATGCAAAAGTGCGCAACAGCAAAAACTTTTTTCGGCAGGTAAACACGAAATGCAACATTTCCTCCTTATTCAGCATACATCCGCAACGAATTAGGATTACCTTAAATACAGAGTGTGCAATTTCAAGTGATTAACACTGTATGAATACAATAACAATCTAGCACGGATGATAATTCGTCATAATGATAGCATAAGCATTTCATGATACCGCGCATGAAGCGACAATATTCTTGAGACAGTGCTTTACAGCACATTGATCACGTTCTATTACAATAGTCTCAGAAGAACGAGAAGACATCACTTCCGTATATTCATTCTCAGAACTGTACCGGTTGGTTGAATTGAATAAAAGGTATGAGCTCAACCAAATTTATTTCTCAGATATGTCCGTAACCTCATGCGACCCACTGAATGTTACAACTATTCAATGGATATCTGGCTCATTTGTTGATATACGTACCATGTTGTTTACGAGATTAGATTTCTTATGGTAAACGGATGATTCTGAATATTATTTCATAGTTCGATATAATGCAAACAACAACAGTGAGAAGAGTAGTTCCGCACCAAATTTTTCCTTCAGTTGCGATTTCGAGAGCCTTCGTTGTTCTTGAAGACTCTACAATGGCTACATGAGTAGATGAGCGTCATTAGGTTCCATACATCAAACTATCTCAGACTGAACAGATCATGGATGGATCACAACGAACAAATATTACTGCCTCACCTGAGCAGGCATGAGAAGAATCAACGTAATTCGAGCCAATCATTCCAGCTGCACTCCATTGTAACAAATTATGGACATAGATTTGACTTGCCATGTCCGCTGCAATAGATTGCTTTATAATGTTTTGGTTGTTTAGAAATAACTGGAGGATCAAGTTCTTATCCTTGAACTCGGAATACTGCCGAACCTCAAATCATCAAAAAAACCAACCATCAATTTTATTCGTCACAGTTCGATGTTGTGATTCAAATCTATAACAGCAGAGAACTTTCTAAAACGATCTTGCAAAATGAATTGTGAGGGTGGTGTTGAAAGAATTTCAGAGATGAACATATGAAGATTCACTCATGCTCTGTACGAACAATAATTTAACTTGACAATGCTATAAAGAAACTGTAAGCAGCCCATTTTCGATTTCTGTGGAAAAAGCAAATTTAACGGTAGTCACCCGAGCGATAAGGATAAACATACATGACAATGAGAAAGTGAGTGATGCATTCACAGATAATGCAATGTATGGTGAGAATTACTGTTGGTGGCGTCAAAAGATGCGTTCTTTTTCAATGTAATCTTTCCGATAATAATCGAAAATTCAACAAATCTTATGAATGATCTTATTTTGACTTGCCAAAAAGCTTTTAAAACGCAAGATATTTGGCTGCTACCGGGTTCCTTATCTGCCACCCTTATCTACAGCTGTTCGCGTGAATGAAACTAAGGAATGAACCATGCATGAAACACACACGAGTATATTGTGCATTTCAACAACCGCGCACTTAGTGAAGCATTATCGACCGTTGCAATGATGAGAATTTAGGATTTTGGAACGTTCCACTGAACGCTACCATCAATAGGCTACAAAGCAGAGTGAATGTTCAACGTTATACTATTTCNATTTTGAG